ACCCGGCCGTGATTTTGTAGCGCTGCGTCGTGGCCTGCCCCGCGAGAGCAGCGCAGCTCGCGCGCGTGGCGGGCCAGTTTCGGTTTGTCGGGCATGTGGTCGAGGGGTCGCCAGGCAGCGTCGCCTCGGCGGCCCGCTCTGCCCAGCGGTGCACCTTCCTTGCGTTCGCGCCCGCGCGAGTTCAGGTTCCGGGTGCCTGTGGCGCCGTGGCCAGATTGAGCTGGAGCGGCGTGGGCCCCGCCGCGCCGGCGGCGGCGCCGAGTCCGCCAGCGCCGGCAGCCGCCGGCAGAGTCAGCGCGGCGCCGCCGGCGCAGGGGGCACTCCCAGCAGCAGGTGTCGACTCAGGCGCCGACGCCGACGCCGTCAGCTCACTCGGCGAAGCTCTTGCCAGAGACGATTCCGAGCTACGCGACGTTCCCGTGGAAAGGCGCGGCGCGCGCCTCTCCTGGGCTCGCGAGCGCGCCGATGCCCGCTGGCGCAGCGCCCGCGACCGCGAGCCCGCGCGCCGCGTCCGGAGGGTCATCGGACGAAAGGGCAAGGGCCATGGAGAAGGCTGCCGCGTCTTCCTGGCCGACGCGCCCGAGAACGGCCCCGGGGGACTTTCTGGGCTTCGGGGGGGGGGGCAGAAGTATGGGGGGAGGGTAGCTCAGGACCAATGGCGCGGCGTCGGGCCGCCGGGGCGATCCCGCGGGCGCGTCTCCGATGCCGCGAGTGCGACTCTGAGGGGCATCCTGTGCGCGACCGCCCATGGCCTCGCGGCCGAGGGCGCGTTCTCTTTCGTGATGCCGGCGCTCCAGTGCCGTCGTCGCTGCCGGCGTGTTCGCCGCTTGCGCTTTTGGCGCGGCGGGGGCCGCCGGGGCCGCCCGAGCGGCGGCCCGAGCCGGGGGCGCGCGTGGGCTGGCCAGGGGCACCTCTGGGACTCCGTAGTCTGTGGCTTTGGGTGCCTGGGAAGGTGATCCCGCGCAGAGCGCTGGCCCCTGGCGCGGCGGAAAGCCGGCTCCAGCGGCGCCGGCGCTGCGGCTGGCAGCGCCGGCAGCCGCCCCACGTGTCGCCAGAGGCTCTCGGCGACAAGTTGGCCGCCACCATTGGTCACAATGGTTGGGTGCGTCGTCCTGATCGTCGTTCTCTCCAAACGTTCGCGACGCCGAACTACAGCGGCTGCGATGGGAGATGACAGAAGTCATGGGCAAGGCTCCGCGCGACTGGCGGGCCCTGCGACTGCGTCGCATGAGAGCTTCGACGAGCGGGCCGAATGCCTGCGCTGCGTCGCGCTGGGTACAGGCTGCAAGGTTGCGCCGCGAGCCTTGTCCATGAAGCTCGCCCGGGTCGCGCGCTTGCCTGGGCGCGGCGCCGAACCCGCTGTGCGGGGCCCAGAGCTGGAGGTCAAGCGCGAGTCGTTTTGCGCCTGTGGCACCAGCGGCTGGCTCGAAGCTAGTTCTCATTTTGTTCGAGCATGACGGCCATCCACATCGAGAGCGCCTTCGGTAGGAGGAAATGTGAGTGCGACGACTTCGCCAATCGCGTAGCGCACCAGCACCGCAGTGACGATGGTGCCGCGACGCTGGACCAGGATTTATCGACGTCCTGATGCCGATCAGGCGCGTCGACCTGGTCAAGGCCAAGGCCGACGAGCCGTCTGGGGGTCACCTTCCAGACCTGTGTGCCTCCTTCCTGGGGGCAGCGGCATGCGCCCCGCTCGCCCAGTGCCATGTCGTCGCGTGTGTCGTCGCCGTGCAGAGGGCCGGGGACATGCTGGGGGACATGCTGCTCATCTGGCGCGTGATGCAGCTCGGCTCCGTCGCTCTGGCCGCGCAGAGGGTCATGGCGCGCGTCGAATTTCCAGCGGTGGAGGGTGCCGGGCGACTCAGCGTGCACAGTGGCGGGTTGCTCGAGAGGACGGAGCAGACGTGTTGCGGCGTGAGAGGAGCTGTATACATGCGTCTCAGCAAGCCCCGCCGCGCCGTCAAGCAGGCGTGCCACTAGCTGGGCGCAGTGAGCCGATCGCACAAGCTGGCGCGCAGATCGTCGTCTGGCTCCAGACTGCTCGCAGCGCGCGTCGCAGCCGACGGACCCGGGCGCGCCCTGCGCGCTGCGCCCGGCGGTGAACGGCCCCGCCTCTGCCGAGGAGAACGGGGGGCTGATGGGGGGAAGGAGGTGACGCTATCCCTGCCGATCTTGTCGTGGACGGCGTGTCCGTCTTCGGCGCGCTGCCCTCGGGCCCAGCGTGGCCGCCTTCCGAGAACAGCGTGGCAGGCCGCCTGCGGTGGTTGGCCGACCAGCTGCGCCTGGGCAGAATGAGGACATCCTCTGGTGGGGCACTCGGGCCATGCGGGCCGACCCAATGACCGTGGGCAGTGTGGGCCGGGAACTCATCCTCAGCGTGATGGGTGGCCAGGTTAGCTACGACCACGACGCGGTCAAGTTCAGCGACGAAACAACAAAAATAAGGCAGTCCCGAGCTCCCAGTGTCCCAGCGCAGTTCTCTCACGTTGCAGTGAAG